AGCTGATCCTGGCTGGTGGCAACCCTGTGACCACCAGAGCAGAGCTGTGGTCTGGGAAGTAACTCACCAGGGCTTCCTTCGGAGGCACCTCAAGGTGCACGTGAACTTCTGCCCTTTCAGCCGGCAGCGAAGCGCATTAAGCGTTTGCATCACCCAGAGACGCAGGTATGGAATAAGCCAAACCCAACCCACTGCCATCGCGTCGAGGCCGACTGTAACGCTACAGGACTAGCAAGCCCCGGCTTGCCCCCAGGAGGGGCTGTGCTTTCAAACTGCTGACCTTCAGCCCCTAGAGTAGGTGGTCCAACACAGCTGTCTTGGGTGGTAGGGTGAGCACCCACCTGTCTGAAGTTCAGCAATGGGGAGGAACTCCTTGGCGGAGTTGGTGAGCGAACGCTGGAGCCTGGATGCCTGCTCCACCTCCTTAAGTCAGGATGAACTACTTTTGGGAGGCCGGGCTGCTGAATGGAGGCAGAGGGAAGAGAGAGAAATTGGGCCTTTTAATTCCTTCCAAGGCATGATTAGGTTAGGCCCTTACTGGGTCATCTAACATACCTCTCTGGGGTACCCTAGGGGGACGCTAGGTGCTCGTGGGCAGTCCGCAGAGACCTTGGCCTCCAGGGGCTCCCATGCCAACAAGCGGGCCCGGCCCACGGGGACAGAGGGTTGAAGTCAAAACAAGAAGGGGTGCATGAAGGACAAAAGGACCACAGCTTCTCTGGGAGACCTGAGCGGGAGCCCACCTCGCCGAAGCGAGGGACCCTGCCGCAGGGGGGTTTCCAGGAAAGCGCAAGCACAGCAGGAAGGCAAAGGCTATTCCAGTTGGAAGGCACAGGCTGAGCCAAGGCAGGGAGGGGGAACTGGGCTCAAGAACCGCCGAGGAAGGCGAGGCCAGGAAGGAGGCGGGACTCACAGACAGGTCGCAGGAAGCCCACCCCAAAGGCACGTTACAGCTCTCCCGACAGTCCTGCTGCAAGGAAAGCCCCCTCCAGGTCTATTCCAAAGCAATGGGTTCAGAAAGCCTGGTATTTACAATCACCACACTGCACCCCTTAGCATAGCGGGTAACCCCCAGTGTTGGTGAGGACTTGGGGCCCCTGTACCTCCCTCATGGGAAGGTCACAGGCAACAGCACCAGCCTGGAGAGGAATACAGTAGCATTTAGTAAAAATATATATATATATATGTATATATGTATACATATATACATATTGCATGCCCACCTCATCCCAAGGCACTGCCACATGAAGATGTTCTGTGGGCATTGGCGTGGAAAGAAGGGCAGCTCTCACATCCACAACCAAGGGAATGAATGAGCAAGATGGCGGGGGACCACTCAGGAGCTGCCAGGAGCAGGCACTGACGCCCCGGGGCTACTTGGAAAGACCTGAGGTGAGGGAAGGAGAGTGGGCAATGACCATGATTCACAGCTCACAATATTGGCCTGGGTTAAAATGTGTCTGTCCATCCACGTCTATGGACATGGAGTAGACACAGCATTTCCACTCCCAGGTACACCTACCCTGGACACCCATGATTACATGCCCTGAGTACATAGGCCTACACACGGTTGTTCCTCGCTGCACTGTTTGTCATAGATCCAACCTGGAATCCATCCACAGAGCCACTCAAGGTAAATTAATTAATGAATTAAATTGTTTCAAAAGCCCAACACAGTCATCTAGTCGATTCTGATCCACAGTGACCCGATAGCACACAGCAGCACTGCTCCATAGGGTTTCTGAGACGGTAAAGCGCTTAGGGACAGATAGCCTCCCTTTTTGCCCGTGTAGTGGCTGGTGGGCTTGAACTGCCAACCTGGAGGTTAAAAGTCCAACGCTGAATTCACTGCACTCCAGAGCTCCTTCCACGCATGGTAGAATGGGTGCCTTGTGGCGGAGTCACCCTCCACAGAACCGACAGGAGACCTTCTAGGACGACACACAACAACTGAGATACATTTCACTAACGAAAGGCGCAGTAATAGAAGTCAGACACGAAAAAGCCCGTTCTGTGGGGTTCCTTTGGTGTGACTGTGCTAGTCTAGGTACTTTGGAGAAACAAATCCACAGATATTCATGTATAAGACAGAGTTTTATATAAAGGTTAAGTGAGCATCAAGAAAACATCCCAACCCAGTGCTGCCAAAGCCCACAAATCCAACATTAACCCATCAACCCAATGTCCAACACCAATCCACAAAGTCCTCCTCCATCTCCCAAAACACACATGATGACGGCCGACTGCAGGAGGAAAGCCGAGTCAGTGAACGTGTAAGCATCTCAGCACTGGCAGGGGTCTCCACACAGGTGCTCCAGCACCCAGGACTGCATGAGGGTAGGTCCATGTGGCTTCTCCTTGGGGATGTCTTGCAGGAAATCAGCCTTGCAACCTGAAGCAGGGAACTGC